CTCAATCCGGAAAAAATCCTCCAAAAACGGCCGTTTCGCTCGGGACATCCTCAAAAAATCGCGAAGATGGCCCAAGATGGCCTCCAAGTCCGCCCGAGATGGTCCAAGACGGCCTCCAAAACGGCCCAAGAGAGTCCAAGACGGCCCAAGACGGCCCAAGAGGCCCCCCAGAGGCCTCCCAGACGGCCCAAGAGGCCTCCAAGAGGTCCTCCAGGAGAGTCCGAAGAGGCCAAAATCATTGATTTTCCCTTGGTTTTTGAAGGATTTTGGCATTTGCGCCTTTTCGGCTCTCCGACGGCTCAAGACGGCCCAAGAAGCCCCCAAGATCGCCCAAGAGGCCCCCAAGAGAGCCCCCTGATGGCCCAAGTGGCCTCCAAGATGGCCCCTAGAGGGCCCCAAGACGGCCCAAGAGGCCTCCAACACGCCCAAGATGGCCTCCAAGACGCCCAAGATGGCCTCCAAGACGGCCCTGGAGCGCCCCAAGAGGGTCCCCCGTTGGCCCAGAAAGGCCCCCAAAACGGCTCCCGACGGCGTCAGACGTGCCAGGAACCCACCAAGATGGCCGAAGTTGGCTCGAAGCTGGCCCAAAAGGGCCCAAGAGGCCCCCAAGAGGCCTCCAGGAAGGCCAAAAGATGCCAAAATCACTGATTTTCCTAAGGTTTTTGCTGGATTTGGGCATTTCCCTTTTTTCGGCCTTCCGACGGCCCGAGACGGCCCAAGAGCCCCCAAAGATCGCCGAAAGATCGCCCAAGAGGCCTCCAAGACGGCGACGATGACCATCAAGACGCCCACGTGTTCCCCGAAGGCTTTCCAAACCGATTCGGGGAACACATGGTCCGATGGCTTGGCAGGTCTGGCCTCAACGTTCGGCCACATAGGCGCTTCCACAAAGGCAGGGGGCGGCGGTGATTCGCCGTAGGCGTCTTCGATAAATGCTGAGTGAGAGGAGGGAAGGGAAAAAGAGAGGAGGGACGAGGGCGAAGAAGGATCACATCAGTCGGAGCGCCCCGGATCGGCGGCACTGGCCGAAGGCCACTACAATTATCTCGTCGGTTGGTGATGTTGCGTTGATGTGTTATGCTCATCGTAAGCTGATTACTTGCGGTGCCACCAAGCCCAGACCTAGGTTAGTCTCTTACGTCTACTTCGGCAGGACTCCAGACCCACCGACGACATCGCGTTTAATCGTGCTGTGGTCCCCAGAGCAGAGGTCTGGACCCCTTTCCCAAGGATCGGCTTTTCATCCTGAGTCGTTGTTAGACTGCCCCGAAGACCAGTAAGGTCCCCCCGAGGCCGAAAACTGCCGAACACCTCCCGCCAAGATTGTTTACGACGCGAGGGGGTCGGGGACCTCCCCCTCCCTCACCCCAGCTTCTCCAATGGCACGAAAGCGCCAAAAGCCAGGCACATCCTGGGTCATTGTTTGACTGTCCCGAGGGCTGGTAAGGTTCCCGGGAGGCCGAAAACAGCACAGAACCTCCTCTCAAAATTGTTCCACGACGTGAGGAGGTTCAAAGACTCCTTATTGCCCCCCCCCCCCCCCCCGCGTTCCTTCCATGGCACGGCAGCGCGCAAAGTGGGGTATCTCGAGCCAGGGCATGACGAGAGCACGTCATCGGTGAGCTCTGCCCGTTTTCTCGGCGGCCTCAAATCAGACCCGAGGACGGCAGTGGCATCTGGGATGAGGACGGGGAGGATTGGCAACGCGCAGCCCACGGGGGTGGCGAGAGAGGGTGCCCTACGGAGACAGCACTCTCTTCTCCTGCTGCTCCTCCAGGTCCTCCTCCTCCTCCTCGTCCTCCTCCTCCTCCTCCTCCTCCTCCCCTGTAGCCATTTTGGCTCAAGCCATTTTGGCTCAAGCCATTTTGCCATTTTGGCTCAAGGCAACCGGCCTCCCAGGAGGCCACTCAGTTTCTTTCGCGCTCACACAGATAGCAGCCATGTCGTCCCGCTCTCCATGGGTATGTTATCCTTGGTTCAAAAGCTGCAGCAGAACAATACATACATCGTGTGCCCCCTGAAGCGTCCAAGTTGTTGGATATGGATCGTCCGGCTTTCTTCTGAACCTACATGCAAGTGCGGGCTCCCGTGGAAGAGCCCAGAAGGTCACCTCGCGCCGCCAACTCTTCCAAGGGCAGTCCCGCCCTCTCCCCATGCAAGTGAGGAAGAATCCATTGGAGTAGAATCTCCACGTCTGGAGCGGAAGATACCGCATAGGAAGAAGTCGCCTTTCCGCAGCTATCCAGAATCAGACAGTCGTCACTCCCCGAAGTATGAGTCCGATTCTGAAGATTCAATATCCAAGCAGTCAGAGCCCAAGGCAAAGTCTAGTCGCAGAAAAAGCAAACCGTCCCCCAGTCGGCACCGTTCGCGCGCGAGGCAGGTTAAGGACAGAACCATTCGTAAGCCTAGGAAGGCTCACAAACAGTCCAACAAGGACGAGACATCGAAGAAGTCAAAGAGGGAGAAGGCTAGGAGGCCGTCAGATCCCAGAATGCCCGAGCTCCAATCGGAGCGCAAGCGCAAGGACTCTAGCTCAGAGCCCGAAGCCAATCCAGAGGTAACCAGCGAAGGCGATCGTTCGGTATCCAGAATGGAAGAACTCAAACAGTATTTACAGGAGGCTCGCATCAAATCATTGGCAGAGCAGCTCGACAATGCCAGGGACGAGATCAAGAGGCTCAAGCAGACCAGGGGCTTGGAAGATCCAGCCCAGAACAGCAAGTCGGCAGAGACAGCAAAATGAGGGAAGAGTCCCTCAAGTCAATGCCTAACATTACCAGCAGTGAGCACGTTTGGGGAAATGACCTCAGGCTACGGAGCACATCAACTTGTCTAGAAGGCCATCTGGCGTGAGCTATCAATGGTTACGGCTTGTCCTTCTCATTGCGGTCGTATCTGCACTTTTGATGTGGACGTTTTCATGTCTAATCTCACTTCTAAGCCACCTTGTTGGCAGCACTGGAACAATTCGCTAGCATGCAATCGAATCAGGCACACTTAGCCAAGCATGGCTTCCCTCAGCTCACCCACATCATCGTGACGGCCGCAGGCGCTAGAACGCGCAGCGGATAGCCATTATTCTCAAAGTTTGTCCAGGCCCCTCGCTTTGTGCAAGCACTAGGATGTGCACTTGTAAGTCATTCCAGGGACCATTCATACTTCTGTGAGGGTGAGCAATGCAGCGTCGTGTGCATATTTTCCTAACAACTATGGCACACGTAATCTTGTAGGCCAGCAGGCAGGCAAGCGAAGTCTTGCAGCCTGAATCCTTCCAGTCCTCCCTCCTCCTCAACAGCTGCAGCCGAGGTTGGCACCCAAGGGAGGATGCGCAGGCAATCTCCCTCCTCTGACCTGTCCTGCCATGGCTTAGCCCATGCAAGTAAGTCCAAACCTGCAGGTTGGCGCCCAGGGGTCGGTTAGGCTGGGATTGGGAGGAAGTGGGGTGGACTTGGGAAGGTCTCTCAATTAGGGGCCCAGTAGAAGCACTGGACAACGCCCCTTTTAACCCTAGCTGGGTAGTCTCTTCCCTTCCTTCCCTCTCTCCTCCCTCCCTCTCTCCCTCCTGGGGCGGGCCTGCTTGAGCCGAATGGGATGGCACCGCTTCGGCACTGTCCGCGGGTCGGTTGCTGACCTAATCGTTGCTGCTGTCTGTGACCGTTCCCCTGAAGCGAATGTCAAACAAAACAAGTCCTCCTCCTCCTCCTCCTCATCATCATCACCACCGCCACCACCACCACCACCATCACCACCAACATCGTCATCATCATCATCATCATCATCATCATCATCATCATCATCATCATCAGCATCATTATCATCAGCATCATCATCATCAGCATCATCAACGGCCTCATCACCAACATCATAAGCATCAACATCGTCGTCGTCGTCGTCGTCATCCTCAGCATCACCGCCACCACACCAGCATCATCATCAGCAGCAGCATCAGCATCATCATCATCATCAGCAGCATCATCATTACCACCACCACCAGCATCATAAACATCATCATCATCAGCATCAGCCTCACCAGCAGCATCATCATCGTCGCCACCACCACCACCATCATCAGCATCAGTAACATCATCACCATCAGCATCATCAGCGCCAGCGTCATCATCATCATCATCATCATCATCATCATCATCATCATCATCCGCAGCATCATCATCATAAGCATAAACAGCATCCGCATCAGTATCCACATCCTCATCCTCACCATCATGATCATCATCATCATCATCATCGTCATCGTCATCATCATCGTACCCATCGTCATCATACTCAACAACATCAACGTCGACATCACCATCATCATCCTCATGACCATCATCATCAGCAGCATCATCATCATGACCAGCATCGGCATCATCATCACCAGCATCATTGGCATCATCCTCATCGTCATCATCATCACCATCACCATCGTCATCATCACCACCAGCATCATCATCGATCTCGCCATCATCACCAGCATCAGCATCTTCGTAGTTTCCATGATCATCGCGGTCAGCAGCATCATACTCAGCAGCATCATAAGCATCAACATCACCATCACCATTAGCATCACCGTCCCAACCATAACCAGTATCATGACCAGTATCAGCATCAACATAATCATATTCTTCCTCAACAGCATCATCATAATCAGCATCCCCCTTCGCCTCCTCCCCCTCCTCCTCCTCCTCCGCTGCCTCCTCCTCCTCATCCTCCTCCTCCTCCTTCTCTTCCTCCCTCCCCCTCCTCCCCCCCCCCATCCCCTCTTCACTGTTCCCCCTCCTCCCTCCCCCTCCCCCTCCCCCTTCTTCTCCTCCTCCTCCTCCTCCTCCTCCTCCCCTCCTCTTCCTCGCTCCTCCTCCTCCTCCCTCCTCCTCTTTCCCCTCCCTCCTCCGCCCCCCCTCCCCCCCCTCCGAGGGCAGGAGCAGGCCCGTTTCTGACTGGGCCCTGCCACTCCCCCTCCCCCCCCCGCGACGGCGACAACAGGGCGGCGGGGGCGCCTCCAGCCGCTCCTGCCGCTCCTGCCGCTCACGCGCTCGGTCGAGCTCCTCCTAAGGGGTGGCGCGAGCTCGGCAGGAGGGAGGCAGGTCTTCGAGGAGAAGGAGGAGGAGGAGGAGGACGACGACGACGGCGACGAGGACGAGACCAGGAGGAGACCTCCACTCCTTCTCCTTATAGGTAACTTCTCCCTGTCAAACCCCGAAGCAAAATTTTAGGGCGGGCCAGGCGTTTCGCCTGAGACTTCCTCACACTTTATGACCCTGAAGTTTTAAAAGTGACAACAGCTTCACAGATGGAGGGCGGGTCGATTTCAAAATGTGGCTCTCGCTTTAGCGCCGCGCACATTCGCTTAACCAGTTGCAAGAGTTTCACGAATTGAGGGTGGTTCCTTTTCACAATGTAGCTCTCGCCTTAGCGCCGCGCACATTCGTTTTCAAATGTGTAAGAGTTTCACGGGTTTCCATGATCAGCGAACTAGACATGGTGTTTTGGACGGATTCAGGATTATGCGGGTGCAGCAGTTATGTGGCTTCGCGGAGTTAAAATACCAACAAATTGTTGTATTAAAAAAGAGTTCAAATACCAACAATGGCGTTCGGGCACGATTCCAGATCGTCAAGACGCAGCAGTCAGGTTGATACGTGGCGTTGAAATCCCGAGAACAATTGTTTGATATGTTTCAGGCTCTTCAAACGGTGGTTTTCCAACCAGGCAGTTCCCTCAATGAGAATGAACCGTTGTAGGGGCCCATGAAGAGGGAGCTTGGAGGGAGGGTTCATTCCGACATCGTTGATGACTCTTGGGTTTACACTAGTCCTCCTCCTCCTCCTCCTCCTCCTCCTCCTCCTCCTGTTCCTCCGCCTCCTCCTACTCCTACTCCGCCTCCTCCGCCTCCTCCGCCTCCTCCTCCTCCTCCTCCTCCTCCTCCTCCTCCATCCCTCCTCCTCCTGTTGTTCTCATCGTGCTTCTCTTCTTTTTGTAGCGTTGCCAACGTGCGGCAATCGCGCGCCTGCGTTGGCGGGCGTGCTGTGTGACCCCTCCCGGGGGCCCTCGGGGGGGGGAGCCCTCGGGAGCCCAACAGGGCAGCGTGACCGCGTGCTGGCCATGACCGCCGCTCCATGAAGAGCCCTTGTGACGTGAACAGAACGGACGGCCCTAGGTCGAGGAGGAGAAGGAGGACAAGAAGGAGGAGATGGAGGAGGAGGAGGAGGAGGAGGACGACGACGGCGACGAGGACGAGAACGTGAACAGAATGGACGGCCACATGTCGAGGGTGGAGGATCGACGGTCGACCTCGAGGACCGAGGGTCGAGGGGCGAGCCCCTCGTGCGAGGCAGCGCGATCGTGGCAGGACGGAGGCGCCTCTTCCAGGTCCAGGGTCGGCGTTCGAGGGTCGGCGCTTGGTGAGGATCGGCGTCGGCGTTTTTGCCTCAGACGTTTTCCTCTGTTAGGGGGGGGGGTTCTGGAAGACCTCGCTGCCACAGCTGGACACGACTGAGGTACTGGGGTAGAAGGGGGGATCAGCTCGGCGATGGCGACGCCGCGCGATCAACGGGGCGCATCCGATCGTCAGAATATCCGACTCGAGTCGGATCGAGCCGGACGGAATCGATATCGAATCGGTTCGGCTGGATCGACATGGGCAGAGAGGGGTGGTGGCTTTCGGACTTCGGGTCTCTGGCGACGGTGTAGGACAATTCGGACATCCCCAGAGCGTTCTCGGCCAGGCGCATATGCTTGACCGCATCTCGAGGCGGGCAAACCTCCAGGAGCCGACGAAAACACATCAGCATCTCGTACCCCCAACCACACTCACCCCCCAATCCCTGAAACGGGAACGTCAGGGAGGGGACTGGCTCAGGGTGGAGAAACATCGAGCGGCTCAGGGGAGGAGGGGAGATCGTCGAGCTGGAATTGGCGATGCGTTGTCGAGAAATCGGCGAAAGGCCCCGATAGCGATAAACCTCACGCTCCTGGCAGGGTGAGGCTATGGCGAGGGTGGCCTATACGGGCCCCTGTAGGCTTCATCACCATCATCACCATCACTATCACCATCACCATCACCATCATCATCACCACCACCATCACCATCACCATCGACATCACCATCACCATCACCATCATCATCATCATCATCATCATCATCATCATCAGCATCATCATCAGCAGCAGCCGCATCAGCATCAGCATCAGCATCATCATCAGCATCATCATCATCAGCATTATCATCATCATCATCATCATCACCATCATCATCATCATCATCATCAGCATCACCATTATCATCATCATCAGCATCACCATCATCAGCGTCACCATCATCATCATCATCATCATCATCATCATCATCGTCATCGTCATCGTCATCGTCATCGTCATCGTCATCGTCATCATCATCGTCATCATCAGCATCATCACCAGCAGCAACATCCTGGGCCCCTATAGGCGATGTGCGGGCGGCTTCGGTAAGATGCGTAGCCGCAATGCCCCTGCCCGTGTCGGCGGAAGCACTTTCGCCATCTTCGGACTCCAGGGGCCCTTGCCGAGCCTCGGGACCGTCAGCAAATGACTCGGGATGAAAGCAGGTCCCGGGGAAGGGGCCCGCCCGAATGTTATGTTGCTCCCATCGTACGTAACAAGACCACATCCCAGAAGTCATTTCGAGCACCTGGATGCTCTGAAGAGCGGCCGCGTGCGGATGATTGCTGTCCCCAGCTCTTGACACCCCGAGCCATACCCTCCTGGAACTAGAAACAGAAGACCGTGAATTTTCTTAGGATGGAGGGCTCAAGGTGAAATCCAGATGAACTTGTGCATCTCGAGAATCATTACGTCTTGTGATCCACCTTTTGCAAATGCAATCCTCGAAGATCAATCGAAACGGCATTTCAGATTTCACCACTTGCCCTTCACCCAAAGGGAATGCTCGGCAAGAACCTGAATCACACGAGCCTTCGGAGATCCGCGCGGATGTCAGGCGACTGCTCTGGAACGCCCCTGGCGGCACCCCGCGGAGCCACCCCTGGCGCGCTTCGCGGGCAGGCTGGGGGGGGCCCAGCGCCGGCCCAAGAGATCCGCGCGGACCTGCCAACGTTTATGTTCATGGCGAACTGTGGGGGCCCGACGACAAGAAACCTTCCACAAGAAACCCAACCCTGAGACCCCAGGACATCCATCGATTTTTGGTGCGGGAGCGTCACGCTTTCCATGGCAAAACCATCGAAAACCGAGAATCCCAGGGCACCCTGGAGGCAAGCAGGGTGCTTCTTGGCATGGGTCCCACTGTAGTGAACTTCCTCGACTGGTGGCCCTCTCTCGGCGGTGAGCCGGGGGGCCCAGGGGAGAAGTGAGAGGGGGCAGGCATTCTCAGGAGGCGGCGGGGTTTCTCGGAAATCCCCGCGCCTCCTGATAAGGTTTCTGAGCCTCCTCCGAAGACAGGGATGGCTTCTCAGAAGGCAGGAGAGACTTCTAAGAAGCCCAGCTGCATTCTAAGAAAACCGGCCCCCCCACGCTTCCCCCCGGCCTCGCCGCCGATCCTCCTCCTCCTCCTCCTCCTCCTCCTCCTCCTCCTCCTCCTGCTCCTCCTCCTCCTGCTACCCCTCCTCCTCCTCCTCCTCCTCCTCCTCCTCCTCCTCCTCCTCCTCCTCCTCCTCCTCCTCCTCCACCTCCTCCTCCTCCTCCTCCTCCTCCTCCTCCTGCTCCTCCTCCTCCTCCCTCTCTTCCTCCTATTCCTCCTCCTCCCCCTCCTCGATCCTCGTCCTCGATCCTCCTCCTCGATCCTCTTCCCAGCCGCCGAGTATCTCCCCCCAGCCGACCCCCGCCGCCGCATGGCGGCGCGCACACGGTGTTTGAGAGAGGGGGGAAGGCTCCTTAGACGGAGGCGGCTTATTCGAAGGAGCCAGCCTTGCATCTGTAGACGAGGCCCACGCCTTCTGAAAAGCAGGGGTTCTTCCAAGCAGCCCTCCCGCCTTCCCCCGCCCCCTCTGGCTGAGCCGCGCTTTTTATTGCGCCGCCCGAATCTGCATCCGGAGATTCGACGACGCTAAGAAGCAACATCGGGAAACACCACGACCCGAGGCCCGGACCCCACCTTTCTTTTGCATGTCAAATCGGATCGATCTGAGAGGACCTCTTGGGCCCGAAATTACGCGAAACCGCCCGGTTTAAAAGAATTGCGACGCCAGGATCTCAGGGAACGGGTGGCGCCGATCCTGCTGGGGGGGAACACCCTCGCTCAATGCTGCTGGTGGCAAGCTGGTGGAAGAATCAGCACCGATGCCACGCCGCCGTGGGGAGCGCATCAGCGCTACTGCCGAAGACAAAAAGGCCCTGGAGAGAAGATAAGGAGTGACACGCTGACCGGCGTGTCGTTGACTCCCTCCTTTGAGCAGGGACCGACCGTCCCGGCAATCCTATAGCCCTACCGCGAAATGTTCTTGGAACAAAAACAATGCATGTTCTTAGAACATGAGCCCGATGTAATTAAACGAGACAGTCCCAGCCAGAAATGTTCAAAACACATCTCGTGCAAACCACACATGGTTTTTAGAACTTTCTTTGGTGGGCCTATAGGCGAGCCAGGACGTTTCGCCACTGCTTGACTCTGATCCTGACGCCCCCCAGGTGCACGGTTTCCGCCGGGGCCGCAGGCGACCCGAGGAGGAGGAAGAGGAGGAGGAGGAGGAGGAAGTGGAGGAAGAGGTGGAAGAGGGGGAGGAGGGGGAGGAGGAGATGGAGGAGGAGGAGGAGGAGAAGGAGGAGGAGGAGGAGGCTCCGTAGCCATTTTGGTTCAAGCCATTTTGGCTCAAGTTATCCATATCCTCAAGGTGGTTGAGTCAACCCGCTGCGCCCTCGGGCTGTTCTCAAGTAGGCGGCATAGCCTCGGGAGCAGACCCCTCCATATCCCACGTGCAGCGAGGCTGCCACATCCATGTCTTGTATCTCGACGTGTCCGTCTAGGACGGCACCAGCAGATTACGACAACCATTCCTCGTTCTCTCTCGCCATGGGGCCGCCCTGGCGCCAAGGGCCTCCCTGGTGGGACAGCGGCCAAGACCGAGGGCACGGGGGCGTTCTTCCTCGGCGGTCAGCATCACGCGGTGGAGGCAAAGGCGCGGACGCAGGCCCCGAGTGGGTGTGCGCCTTCTGTGGATGCAAAAAGAACTTGGCCTCTTTCGAGTGCTGCAAGCACTGCCAGGAGTGGAAAGTCGAAGCCCCAACGGACCCTGCCGCACACGCCCTCCTGGCTCCTCCTGGTCCTGGTGGTCGTGGCGGTCGTCGGCAATCTCGTGGGGCAGGTCGTCAACGCACGGATCTCCGGCCTGAAGCAGCGCCAGCGGGACATCTGCCAGGTCCTGGAGGCGCGGGGCCCACAGAGGAGGAGCTCGAGAATGGGATCGCGTTGGCCACCAAACTCGGGGACAAGGACACCGCCCGCAAGTACGAGGCACAGCTTGCGGACCTCCGCAAGGGCCCCAGCCTCACCATCCAGGAGCGAGCCCAGCTCTGCCACGCCCGCATCAAGCAGTTGGAGGAAGCTCTGGGTGTGGAGGTCGGCAAGCTCGACACGTACCAGAGCTGGGTCCGCACGCAGACGGAATGCGTCAAGAAGCTCGAGCTGGCTCTTGCCGAGGCGGACGGAGAATGCACCCCCATCGTCTCCGAGCTCGCGGATAAGGTCGGCAAAGACGCGGAAGGTGACAAAAAAAACTACCAGGGTCCAAGGTTCCCCTCGCCGACGTCGTTGCGGGGAAGCCTGATGCCACCAGTCTCATCGACATCGGCGGTTTCTTCAGGATTGGCGATGAGTTCGAGCTCACCCCTGAGGATGTCAAGGCGCTGGAGGAACGAAAGGACCAGTTGCGACAACAGATGCAGACAGCTACCAAAGACATGTTCCGCGACGCCATGGTCAAAGTTGAGAAGGTCAAAGCGGAGCACGCGGCACATGTACAACGGCTCGCTCGTAAACGTGGACGGACCGAACCTGCTGCAGATGCAACAGCGGTCGAAGGTGCTAGCAGCGCCGACGCTCAGGTTGCCCCAGAACGCCAGCCTACTGGTGAGACTGGGAAGGGCACATGGGCGGCTGCAGCAGCCAACGGCGGCTCGCCAGCAGCCAGCAGCGAGAAGACCAAGGGCGGCACCAGCAGCGAGGACATACGGACTGCCCGTGCTCTTGGAGGCGAAGCTCAGTGCCAGTCGCAGCCCTGATGCCCCCCTGTGGAAGCAGTGCGGCGGAGGCCCCCTCGCGACCGATCGCAGCCACCACGGGGGGGGGGGGGGGGGGGGCAAAGTAAGGTCATAGACGTCGACGAGGATGATCACCCGTTTCTCTCCGACTACGGCTGGGAGACGACGCCCTCGCCACCTCCGGCAAGGATCGAGTGGCATCAAGCTCCGAGGAGCTCGGCGGCATCAAGCCCAGCGGCCCGCAGTGGATTGGCGACCTTGTCATCGACGATGACCGCGTCGACAGGTGCCGCACTCTCCGCCCCGGAGATAGTGGAGACCCCGCTCCAGACGCATCCCTCGGAAGACCCAAGTCCTAGGCCTGGGGCCCACCGAGCGGCACCCTGGGGCGGGGAATCGCTGGAGGGGCGGTGCAGCGCACCACGCGACGACCTTGGGCGCTACTGTGCGACCTCGTCAATTACGGCAACACCAGGAACTGAGTCTTGGGGCAGGGCCCAGCCCAGACGGCTCACGCGCTTCCCCGCCCTGTCCGCAGCGCCAGCCGCATCGGTCGGCCCACTGTTTCTTTTTTGCAGGCTCCAGTGGTCGCGATCGATGACCCGCCTGCCTCCCCGATCGCACAGCCCGAACTGCCCCCTGGGCCAGCGGCCAAGGAGGGCAAACGCATAGCGATCCAGATTGAGACATGCAGCTGCACTTCGCTCGCGCCCTTCAAGCGATACCTGGGGGAAGAGACCAGTGCCTCGATCGCCTGCCTCCAAGGAGATCGAGAGGTCCGAGGTTGAGGCCGTGATGCGCAAGCAGGGCTGGGCGTGCATCCTCAGCCCCTCGGTAGTCACCGACTTAGGAGGATTGTCCTGCGGGGTTGGAATTGCGGTCAGGAGTCATATCGGGGTCGGGCTTCCCCCCCTCTTACTCGACCCCTCCCTGCCTCCCACAGGTGCCAGTTGTCCTGAGTCAACGCTTTCGTCCCAGGGGGCTTCATATTCGGGAGCGTTTACCCTCCCCAGGGCGACCCCCTGGGCGGGATTGGGGGGCGCATCCAGTCCAGGTTGGGGGAAGCCTTGCATGGCTGGGGGGCCCCCTTCATCCTCGGGAGAGATTGGGACTGCGAACCCCAAGCCCTCAGAGAAGCTGGATGGGTGGAGCACCTTGGAGGACAGATCGCGGCGCCCGCTGCCTCCACTTGTCGCTCGACGGCGCAGAGATGGAAGACGATTGACTACTTCGTTTGCACGGCTGCGCTGGCGCCGTCTTTCACCAAGGTTGGCCGCAATGAGAATGCGACCACCAGCCCTCGCTGGCCAGTCAGCGCGACCCTGAGCGGGAACCCTCGGATCGATCAGGTTTGGATCTTGCCGCGGCCGAGGGCCTTTCCCCTCTCGGTTCCCGCGGGGCCCCCTTCCGCCCCACCCGGCTACTCTGAGCTGCATGGAAGAGCGGGGAAGGGGGGCGCCCGACTGGATCTTGACAGATGTTTCGGAGAGTTCCTAACCAATCTGGAACGTGAACTTGGGGGGATTTACCAAGTTGTTGGGTTCGAGTATTTCGGTCGCAACCAGCAGCAGAGGCGACTCAAGCAGATCCCAGCCATGAGATCGTCGGGAGGGGCGTATCCTCTTGGATGTCCTCAATCTCGGGCGCGGCGCAAGGTCGCTATCTGGCTCCGCGAGCTGGAGCACCTTCGGAACCGCGGCTCGGCGTTGGAAGGTCCCAGCCATGAGAACGTCGGGAGGGGCGTATCCTCTTGGATGTCCTCAATCTCGGGCGCGGCGCAAGGTCGCTATCTGGCTCCGCGAGCTGGGCCACCTTCGGAACCGCGGCTCGGCGTTGGAAGGGCTTGAGTCGCGCAGACTGGCCGCCAAGCTTTTGAAAGGGCCCCCCAGCCCCAGGAGAGACTCAAGCTGGATAGGGTGGAAGCCCTCTTTCCCTGATGTGGTTGTTGCGTGCTCCACCGCTGAACTTGTGGAGCTTAGGAGAGAAGCCAGCCGTTTCGCCGCCGGCCTTGAGCAGAAGTTCAAAGCCGACCGAAAGGCCCGCTGGAGGGAGTGGGTCGAGGAAGCGGTGGAGAACGGCGGAGGCAAAGCCTACAAGTATTCGAAAGCACCCATTGGGTGGGGCTCTAGTGGCCGTGGAACCTGGGATGCCCCCCCCCCCTGGGCCAGGTGCCCTCGCGGGGCAGATGCGAGCAGGTTGGGGAGAAGTCTGGGCCCCCCCGCCGATGCCAATAGTTTGCCTGGCCCGTTCGCTTGCCTCGACCACCAGATTGCTGGACTTTGTCGGGATGGCCACGCTACTGGGCAGCGGCCCCGCGCGCCGAGCGCGGACGACGTCAGGTCTGCCGCGCGAAAATTTAAGCAACGCGCCGCCCTCGGGTCCGACGGGATCCACCCGATGGGACCTCTGCAGAGTGTCGGACGGGGCCCTCGAGGCCCTGTGCGACCTCTGGGCGCGGTGCGAATCCATCGGACACGTCCCGACCCAGCTCGCCCTGGTTTTTGCCGCCCTCCTCCCCAAGCCCGATGGGGGGTTCAGGCCGATCGGGCTGCTGCCTGGGATCTGCCGTGTCATGAACAGAGCCACTCGCCAGGACGCTGCCGATTGGGAGGGGAGACAGGGGCTGTCGTACCACTATGGGTCCACGTGGCGAAGCTGTGAGCGAGCTGTTTGGGAGCAAGCGCAAGCCACCGAGTTCGGTGACCTGGTTGGGATCGGGACTGGCGCGGTCCTTGCGGACCTCACCAAGGCGTGCGAAAGGGTCCTGCAATTTGTGCTGGCCCAAGCGGCTGTCAGGCATGGATTCCCGCTCTTCCGCCTTCGGTTTTTGCTTCGGGTGCATCGGGCGCCCAAGCTCCTCCTCATGAACCAGATCACCTCGAGCGTGATCCAAGCAGGCCAGGGGGGTCATCGCTGGGTGCAGATACGCGACCACCCTCATGAAACTCATCCTCCTTGCGCCAGTCGATGCGATGATCCTCCATTGGCCGAGTATCCGAATCTCTAACGTGGTGGACGACATCACCTTGTTCGGCATGGGGGCCCTGGCCAGCCTGGGCTGTCGGGCCGGCAGGGCGGCGCGCTTCCTGCTTCTGGAACTGCAGAACATGTTCTTGGTGATTTCCAAGGACAAGGGGGTGGTGATGTCGACGCATGTGGAGGTCGGGAAACAAATTTCGGTTTGTATCCAGGACTGGGGTTTCAAACAAAAACATGCCACGAAAAACCTGGGCGTTGATTTCTCGGTCCGACGGCGCAGGCCGAGCACTGCGGTCCAGAGAGGCCGAATGGCTGCTTTGAGGCCGAGGATCAGGAGGTTTCGCGGGCTGCGCTCGGCGTTCCGTGGAGTCACCAAGGTTGCCAAGGCAGGCGGCCTTCCTGCGGTGACCTACGGCTGCTCGATTGTAGGGATTGCCGATGCCCCCCTTCCAAGAGATTCGTTCGATCCTTGGCCAGGCTATTTCCGGGACCCCGAAAGGACGATCCACGACCATCGGGTTCCAACTGTGCGGAGATAAACGTGCCGATCCGACCTTCGCTGCCAACTCCGCCCCCCTTCTCAGCTGGTGTTTGGCCGTGCGCAAGGGATGGGCTCCCGAGCAGCAGATGAAGCCAAGTTTTGACCCCTTCCTCAACACCCCAGGATGTGACTGGGGGCAGGTCACGGGACCTGCTGGGGCTGTGCTGTGCACGTTGCGCAGACTCGGCTGGCGCGCTTTAGGTTACAGGTCTTGGGTTACGGGGAGAGGAGTCTCAGTGGATCCTGGCACCCTGGGCACGAGGACGATGAAAGCTCTGATCGAGCAAGATACCCACAGAGGACTCATCTGTAACATCGGCCAACAAGTTCCTGGGCTTGCTTCTGGGCCCCTCCTTGGGCCTGTCGTTGATCAATTGAAATCGTTGCGCGGGCAATGGAAAAAAAAAGGAAGCCGCCCTTGTCTCAGGAGTCGTGGCTGGAGGCTACGCGACGCAAGAAGCCCTGCTCGCGGGGAGGCGAGTGGTGTCTCCCCTTTGCCGATGGTGTGGAGCGCTCTCTGCCCCCCACAACACAGTTTTTTTCAGCTGTGACGGGAACGCTGGTCTCCGCTCCAGCCTCGACCTCGAAGGGTATCTCGCCAAAGGGAGGGAGGCTGGTGACGAAGACCCTGGATTCACCAGGGGCCTGTTTGCCAGCCCTGAAGTTCTTTGGCCCCCTCCCTTGGTCGATGCTGGGTTCAAGTGGAGCGTCTTTCCCCCTCGGTGTCCTCGACACTGGCAAGATCTGTTTGGACGGCTCGGCCTTGGACCCAGACAGTGAAGTGTTCGCGGGGGCCGGTTGGGGAGCGGTCGCGGTTGACATAGGTGGGAATATTGTCGGGTCGCTTTTCGGTCCCGTCCCCCAACCCCTTCAGTCCTCAGGAGGGGGGGAGGTTTACGCCTTCCTCATGGCCCTGCGGCAGGTGGGGGCCTGCCCCACAGAGTACTGCACGCATTGCCAGATGGTCCGTGACGTCTGGGAGAAAGGCCCAGGCCAGGACCTCACCAATGTCAGCTACAGCGAGCTGTGGTGTGACATCTTTGCTAGGGCAGTGGATGTAGGGATGCACAACATCACCCTCTCGAAAGTCCAGAGCCATCTGTCTGGTAGGGCCGCCTTGGACCGTGGGTTTCGGTTCTGGGTGTGGGCTGGGAATCGAGAGGCTGATCGCCTGGCTAAGTTAGGGGCCGCCGTGCATCCCCACAACCCCCGAGCTAAGCATTCAACTTGTACGTGCATCAGGCCGAGCTTGTCACCAACAGCGTATGCGTGATCCACGAGACCATGAAAGCCCTCTCCCGTCTCAACTTCCCAGATGTCGAGAAGGTTCGGGCCAAGGTTAGACAACGGCCTGGAGGTCTCGAGCTGGTGCCCGATGCGCTTGGCCACCAGTTGATCCGCTATAAGCTTCCAGGGGGCAGATTCGAGTACCAGTGTGTCAGATGCGGGGAGCCAGGATCTCGCACAGGCGTTTGTAAGGTTCCGTGCTCTGGGCTGCCTAAGGTGGCCCGCCTCGCCCACCCCTTCCCACCAGCTCTTCATTGGAGGGGCCCGAGTGGCGTGGTGTTCGAGGTGCGGGGCTTTTGGGAACCGCAGGTCTCAATATCTCTCTGACAGGTGCATAAATCACCCTCGGAATAAGGACGCAGCTCGGAGCTTGAAAATGCTCCGAGAAGGTGTCGACCCGTCTACCAAACGGTTTTGTCGGGCGCAGTTTCGATTGCAGGCGGCTGGGATAGTGTCTGGTTGGCTGAACATACAGCTGGGAGGCCAGCTGCACCGCCCAGGACCAGCCGCCTCCCCCCTCGTGCGTATTGGCTGGGTGTTCGCGTCTCGGCGTCGAGAATCCCGTCATCTATGGAGAACCTGGAGAACCAGGAGGAGGAGGAGGAGGAGGAGGAGGAGGAGGAGGAGGAGGAGGAGGGGTCGCCTAAGCCCTTCGGAGAAACCCTGCCGAAGTGCTCTGCTGAGACCTACCCTCGGGGCGGGCTCTTTCTGTGGAGGGCCGGCTTGGACCCTCCAGGCCCCGCCCGGCGTGGAGAGATCCTGGGGCCGAGCTCCCTCGCTGCTCATCAGAACGTGTGTCAGAGCACCAACGTGTGCTTGTTCATCGAGGCGCTTCAATACAACATAGGCGGTGCCACGCCGCGACGAAAACGGGCTCAAATCGGCAACTGTAAACAATTAAACAACGGATCGCAAAACGAACCGAAGACGGCGAGACGGCAATCACAAAACGGAAAGAAAACTGCTCCCCAAGCCAAAAGAAACGTCGATCTTGAAAACAGAAAAAAATAGCCTGGCGAAGAACCCAACCATATGCAGTTGTCAGTACCGCAGCTGCGGGTTTCATCTTCAATGGAACTCCCCATAGGATTACGGAACGTGTGAGGGGTGTGCCGAGATTGGTGCCACTGGGGCATTCGGCGAAGCTCCCTATGGGGACATGAAACACGCGCGGGGCGTGCCGACATGGGTGGCGGAAACGCATGTGCGGGCCGCCACTGGGGCCTCCAGTGGAGCTCCCTATGGGTCCCCGAAACATGATGTTGCTGCGGGGGGGGGGGGCCTGGATGGGTGGCGGAGACGCATGTAAGCGCCGCTACTGGGGCCTTCGGTGGAGCTCCCTATGGGGCCACGAAGCGCGTGAGGGGTGTACTGGGATGTGTGGCGGGGACGCATGTGAGCGCCGCCACTGGGGCCTTCGGTGCAGCTCTCTATGGGGCCACGAAACGTGTGAGGGGTGTGCCGAATTGGGTGCGGGTGGTGACGCATGCGGGCGGCAGCACTGGGGCCTTCGGTGGAGCTCCCCATGGGGCCACGAAACCTGTTGTTGTGAGGGGCGTGCCGGGATGGGTGGCGGGGACGCATGTGAGCGCGGCCGCTGGGGCCTTCGGTGGAGCTCCCTATGGGGCCACGAAACGTGTGAGGGGTGTGCCGAATTGGGTGGGTGTGGGTGACGCATGTGAGCGCCGCCACTGGGGCCTCCGGTGGATGATGGGGCCACGAAACCTGTCAGGGATGTGCCGAAATGGGTGTGCGGGACGCATGCGCATGTGAGCGCCGCCACTGGGGCCTTCGGTGGAGCTCCCTATGGGGCCACGAAACGTGTGAGGGGTGTGCCGAAATGGGTGTGGGGACGCATGCGGGCGCGGGCACTGGGGCCTTCGGTGGAGCTCCCTATGGGGCCACGAAACGTGTGAGGGGTGTGCCGAAATGGGTGTGGGGACGCATGCGGGCGCGGGCACTGGGGCCTTCGGTGGAGCTCCCTATGGAGCCACGAAACGTGTGAGGGGTGTGCCGAAATGGGTGTGGGTGACGCATGCGGGCGCGGGCACTGGGGCCTTCGGTGGAGCTCCCTATGGAGCCACGAAACGTGTGAGGGGTGTGCCGAAATGGGTGTGGGTGACGCATGCGGGCGCGGGCACTGGGGCCTTCGGTGGAGCTCCCTATGGAGCCACGAAACGTGTGAGGGGTGTGCCGAAATTGGTGTGGGTGACGCATGCGGGCGCGGGCACTGGGGCCTTCGGTGGAGCTCCCTATGGAGCCACGAAAGGGGTGTGTGATGCGGTGGGGCCGAGCTGGATGTGAGGGGTGTGTGGGTGTGGGTGACGCATGCGGGCGCGGGCACTGGGGCCTTCGGTGGAGCTTCCTATGGAGCCACGAAACGTGTGAGGGGTGTGCCGAAATGGGTGTGGGTGACGCATGCGGGCGGGCACTGGGGCCTTCGGTGGAGCTCCCTATGGGCCACGCCGAAATGGGTGACGCATGCGACTGGAGCTCCCTATGGAGCCACGAAACGTGTGAGGGGTGTGCCGAAATGGGTGTGGGTGACGCATGCGGGCGCGGGCACTGGGGCCTTCGGTGGAGCTCCCTATGGAGCCACGAAACGTGTGAGGGGTGTGCCGAAATGGGTGTGGGTGACGCATGCGGGCGCGGGCACTGGGGCCTTCGGTGGAGCTTCCTATGGAGCCCCGAAACGGTGTACTAGGTGGGTGCAGAGGAGAGGAGGAGAGGAGGGGAGGAGGGGAGGAGAGGAGAGGAGAGGAGAGGAGAGGAGAGGAGAGGAGAGGAACGCGGGGCACCGTCTCTTCAAAACGAGGACCCAACACCACAGGATGGTTGGGGGGGAAAAAAAACGTCCCCAGCGTTTCTAATAACATCTAAGGGCTGCGCGCTAGGGGTGGGCCTGAACGGGCAAACAGACACTGGGCCAACACACGTCCTGCAGGCAACTCCTGGGAGGCCTTCGTGGCCACGGTGAAGAACTGCCAGGCCAGACGGGGGGACGATCAAACCCAGCCGTACCTGACTGAAACCTGCGCCGAACGAGATCAGGCCAATCAAAGCTGGATCAAACCAGTTTCAACCACAAGGAAGGCACATGCCGAATAGGGGAAGCAGGAGGTGACCGCTTTTTCTTTCCCAGGTGATCGTCGTTATCAAGGGGGGGGGGGGGTCGGGCGGAAGGGCAACGGTAACGGTGGCCGCGGCGTGCACCCGCCAGGGTGCGTCTGCGCTACCGACGCATCAGTCGCCACTGTGCACCACAGCATGTGTGGGGGGGATCCAGGCCCCCCCCCCCGGTACGATCGTTAGCGTTACCTGATGAGGGGGGAGGAAGGGCTTGGCCAGGGTAACTAACGAGCGTTATCCTGGGGAGGGAGGGATGGAGAAACCGCTCATCACGAGAAGATCCTGAGACCCGATAGCGCAGAAGAGAATAACCATCGTATATAAGCCTTGGCCGGAGCCCTGCACCGCTCGCTCTGCGGCCCGTCTCGAGCCCGATAGATCCGCGAGGGCCCAGGGCCCGGAACTCAGCGAAAGCGCCCGGCGCGAGAAGACATCAGCGACTCTCGGATCTCAAGGGGGGGGTCCGCAACTCCCGTGAGGGGGGAAACAGAACGGTGCCGATACCGCTGCACCCTGGACTGGTCCCGCGGTGTGGTCTGACCCGGATTTCGTGGACAGTCCAGCCGTGGTGACGATTCGGGCGCAACTCGCGGGAGCCTCCCATACCATCTTATTGGTTATTGGCTCTGGCGAATCGACGCTCATCGACGCTAGTCGACGCTAAATCGACGCACATCGACTCTAACCGACACGAGCCGACGGCAAGTCGGCGCTATCTCATCGACTACTAAACGCTAATCGACGCTAGCGCACTCTAAAGACGGAGTTGCGAGGGTGCGCAAGGCTCCCATGATTTGCTACCGAAGAGAATCCAGCCGTGGTGACGACGACTCTCCAGAACGAGAGGCGGTATCGGTGCCTCTTCCTCCTCAGGTCCCTCGCGTCCTGCGCCATCCGCTGTTTCTTGGCCTCCTCTCGGAGCGTCCTCCTGGCCTCCTCCATGGCCAGCCTGGACTTCCTGTCGACGTGGACGGTTGCCCTGAGCGACGGCGCCCAGGGGAAGTGAGAAGGAACAGGCCTTCTCAGGAAGTGGCGGGGCTCCTCAGAGGCCCTCGCGCCTTCTGAACAATGGTCTGTCTTCGGGGCAGGTGTAGAAAACTTCTCAGAGGGCCGGAGGCCTTCCGAGCCGTCCGAAAAGGCCCGCCCCGTCTCTCTTCCCCCCGTGCGCGCCGCCGACCTGAGGATGCTCTCCGGCGGGATGTTCAAGCGCAGCTTCTCCTCCTCTGGCGTGAGCCTCCCAGTGTCCTGGTAGTTCTCCTTGCAGCGGGCCAGGCGCCACAAGTCGGTGGTGCCCTCGACGCGGTTGAGGTACTGGCGCTGCCCGCTCTTCTGCACGACCAGACAGGGGAACACCTCGCACCTCCACAGGTCGTCGGGGACCTTCAGCGCGTGCGAGTTGGGGGTCTGCACCTTGAGCTTGTAGATCTTCTGGTTCCACCCGTCCAACTCCTTGAGGGCCTCCAGCAGGCTGGTGGTGTCCCGGTCGAAGTGCTGGCACTGGCCGCTGTCGCACGACCCGAAGATCGACCTGTCGCTCAGGGAGAGTGTGACCACGTACTCGGCGCCCGCCTGCCCTCGGTCCACGAGCCTGTCCACGCTTTCCACGTACACGCCCTCCCCGAAGCGATGGCAGCACAGGGCGTTGACCTGTAAGAAGAAGCCATAACTACAGAAACAAACGCTTTTGAGGGTCCGCGTGGATGTCTTGGATTGGCGCTAGGCCACCTTCCTGGCGCGCGGAACGCGCCAGTGGCGGCACCACAGGGGCCATCAGGGAGGCCCATTCACATCCAAGAAATCCGCGCGAAGCCCAGGAAGTTTACGGTTCTGCTTAGTTGTTTGTCCAACCATCCTGTGATGAGCCCTCGTTTTGAATGGACCGCTCGCCGCGCGGCCCCACAGGGAGCTCCTCTGAAGGCTCCTGTGGCAGAGTTCGCGTGCGTCCCCCCGCCCATTCCGGCACACCTCTCACACGTCTCGTGGCCCAACAGGGAGCTCCGCCGAAGGCTTTTGTGATAGAGTTCGCATGCGTCTCTACGACCACTTCGGCACACCCTCTAGCGCTGCGGGGCCCCGAAGGAAGCTCCACCGAAGGCTCCTGTGGGAGGGTTCGCATGCGTCCCCCCATCCATGTCGGCGCACCCCCTCACGTTTCGTGGTCACACAGGGAGCTCCACCGAAGGCCCCAGCGATAGGGCTCGCACGCGTCACCCTGCCCGTTTCGGCGCACACCTCAAACGCTTCGTGACCCAACCAGGGGCTCAACCGAATGCTCTTGTGGCAGGGTTCGCGTGCGTCCCCGCGCCCTTGTCGGCAGACCCCTCACGCGTTCCGTGGTCCAACAAGGAGCCCCACCGACGGCCACAATGGCAGAGTTCGCGTGTCTCCCCCCGCCCATGTCTGACACCCCTTACACGCTTTGTGGTCCAAAAATACAATAGGCTCCACCGAAGGCCTCAGCGGCAGGGTTCGCCTGCGTCCCCCCGACCACATCGGCACACAGGAAGCTCCACCGAAGGCTCCTGTGGCAGGATTCGCCTGCGTCCCCCTCCCTCATGTCGGCGCACCCTTCACACGTTTCGTGGCCCAGCTCTCTCTTCCTTCGTCTCACCTACCTTACGGTACCCACACTTGCACATGGCTGGGTCTTCCGCCAGGATATGTCTTTCTCCGTTGACCACGTTGCGCGCGGTGCCGAACTCGTCCTCGGCGATCCACTTCGGGTCCGCTGGCGGCAGCCCCCCAAGCTCGGCCGCGGCTGGGCCGCCGTCGCGCACGTGCCGCAGGAAGACGGTGCTGGCCAGCTGGCTGACCGAGGAGGGAAGCGCTGGGCGATCCACCCGCCAGTCATTGTCGAACTCGCCGCTGTCCTCCTCAGAGGAGGAACGAGAGACAGCATGAACCTAGGCATTCGGAGGTCCGCGCGGATTTTTTGGATCGGCGCTGGAGGCGCCGCCAGGGGGGCGCCTCCGGCGCCAGCGCCAATACAAGAAAGCCGAGCGGACCTGCATAGGAAGGACATGTTTATCCAAGGGATCCAGAAGTGTATGTTTATGCAAGAAGAGATCCAGAGAAAGAGAAAGAGACCAAGGAATCCAGAGAAAGAGATCCAAATCATCCTGGGGTTCATGTTTAGTCATATGTTCCTCTTCGACTCCTGGGGTCGGACGGCCGCGCCGCATCGCCGGTGCACCCGGCGCCGTCGGCGTGGAGAGAAACAAGCTCTGCGTCGAGGCCGCACTGCCAATGCATCGGGGATGCGGCGCGATCCTCCGACCCTATCCGCTCGGACCCATTTCGAGAAACTTGGAGCATGCCAGCGCTGGCGCCAAATCCAACGTCGCAAGAACTGACGTCGAGGCGGGGGAAAGCCCGAGAGAGCCGGCCTTGCCAAAGGGTGTGACCACTACAGTCAATGGAATATTGTTGCTAGTGAGATTTGAGCGAGCATGTGAATCTATCGGAGGCGGCTCAGGGAAATGCCTTAGTTCCGCCCTCATCTGGCTATTCATCATGATTTGTCCTCCTGTTATCCGTTCGGACTCAGTCCAGCTCTCCTGCGCGCAGGCAAGCGGACACGCGAGCACACCCTTCACGTGCACGCACGCGCACGCACCCACGTGCACCCCCTCGCCTGCATCACCGTCAGCGGCGCATCATGTACACCAGCCCCATAAACTGCGGGAGAGGACGCGCCAAGCATCCAGGGCGACGCCCGAGAGGGTGAGGAGCACCGCTGGGCCGAAGTACACACACGAACACACACGAACACACACACACACACACACACACCACACAAACGCGGCGCTACGACACATGCAGCAGGGGATGCAGGCAATCGGCTCGGTGTGAGAACGGGGCGCGACTGCAATGCTAGCAACCCCGCCCGTCCGCCACGCCTCTTACCCCGCCACCCTCCTGATCAAACTCTTGAAACATTAAGCGGGGTACCGTTGTAGCACTCAATTTCGTTGGTGGAAGAAGCTCCTGAAGCTCCTGCCGCAAGCAAGGGTGCGCTCCAGCGCCAACTCGTTACGACGGACAACCTTCCAGCAGCCCGCGGCGTGGGCTCCAGCACCACATTTCTGCGAGGGGCAGCGCCCCCGCAACCCATGGCATGCGCTCCAGCACCCAGTTTTTACGCGGGGCACGTTCCAACAACCGACGGCGCGCGCGCCATCACTGCACTTTTCTCAGATAGTGCTTCGCTACAATTTTCGTCGTGGTAACACATATACGACAAAAGAGTCCCACAAGGGGGGACGGGAAGCCCAGGATTGCCTCCCAAGACGACCCGGTCTGGCAGCCATTTCGCTTGAGACCCCCTGACGATTTATTCATAATTCGCAATGCCAGCCCAATCTTTTTCCGGAGGGTCACGATCCCTTGTGACCAACAACTGTCGCTAGGGCGAAAGCCCAAACAGTGACTTCTTGCAACACGCGCGGTGAAATAATCGGATGTGGTGCAATCAAGGTGGGCAATCCATGTGGTGTAATCTACGTGGCGCAAAACAATGACAAGCAATGCAAAACACTGCAAAGCAATGCAGTGCAATGCAGTGCGACGCAATGCGAAGACACGGAACGCAGTGCAAAGCAATGGAAAGCAATGCACAGCCAGGCACAGCAATGCAAAGACGCGCAAAGTAAAGCAACGCAACGCAAATTACGCAATGCAAAGCAGTGCAACGCAAGCAACGCAATCCAGAACAATCCAAATTAATGCAAAGTAATGCGAAGCGACGCAAAACGACGCAAAGCAACACAAAGTGACGCAATGTAACGCAACGCAGCGCAACTCGATTGGAGCGCAATGCAATGCGATTGCACAGAAACGCAAAGCGATGCCTTTGCAGCGCAACGCGATCGAAATGCAACGGTAGAAGGGGGGTGCAACGGGGCGGCGGCGACGCGGCGACGGGCGGGAACGGGACCGCCTTTGCGGAAAACGGGCGTTTTAGCTAGAGGAGTGCTGCGTCGACGGACGGGGACGGGGCCGCCGAGGCGGCGGACGGGCCCGTTTCCGTTCAGAAGTGAAGCAGGACACCCTACGTGCAAGAACTGTTGGAGAACACACACACACACAACAGTCCCACAAGGTGGACGGGGAACCCGGCAGCCGTTTCGCCTGAGACGTCCTCGCAAATGCTTGGTTCTGGAGTGAGTCGTGCTCTCGCCTGAACGCCAACTACATTGCTGGTCCGCGAGGCCACGACCCCTCGTGATCAGCCTGGCGAAGGACCCGACAATATGCAGCTGCGAGTGCTGCAAGGAGAATAGAACTGTGGAGGTGGACGAACAAACTGTGACATGCGTGGGGAAATGAACACCTCTACCCTCATATGCAGCACGCCGCAGGAAGGACGCGGCACAGGGCAGTGCGTGCAGGGGGCGGCGGCATGGCCAAGGGGACGCGAATCTTGCCACATGGGCCTTCGGTGGAATGGAACCGCGAAACGCGCCAGGGTTGTGCCGGAATGGGCCTGGGGACGCATGAGAAACCTGCCACTGGGCCTTCGGTGAAAATCCCTTTGGGGCCTCGAAGTGTGTCAGGGAGCCTTGGGACGCATGTGAACCCTGACGCTTGAACCTTCCGTGGCGCTTCCTATCGGGGCACAAAGCTTGTGAAGGTATGCCGAAATGGGCCTGGACGCATGTGCATCCTGCCACAGGGGCCTTCCGTAGTGCTCCCTGTTGGGTCACGAAGCGTGTTATGGGTGTACCGCATTGGCTTTGGGGACGTATGTGAGCCCTGCCGCTGAGGCCTTCAGTGGAGCTCAATTTGGGGCCACGAGGCGTGTAAGGGGTATGCCGACATGACCCTGGAGACGCATGTGACTCCTGCCGCTGGGGCTCTCGATGGCGTTCCCTATTGGGCCCTCGAAGTGTGTGAGCGTTGTACCGACATGGGCCTGGGGACGCACGTGAACCCTGCCACGTGGGCATCCGGTGGCGCTCCTCATGAAGCCACTGAGCGTGTCACGGGTGCAGCGGAATGGGCCTGGGGAAGCATGTGCACCCTGCCCTGCCACAGGGGCCTTCGATGACACTCCCTATGGGACCACGACGCGAATGATGGTTCTGCCGAAATAGGCCTGGGAGCGCATGTGAACCCTGCCACCGGGGCCTTCGGTGGACGCACGTGAGCACTGCCAGTGGGGCCTTCGGCGACGTTCCTTTTGCGTGTGATGGGCGTGCCGAAATGGGCCTGGGGACACACGTGAACCCTTCCATTGGGGCCCTCAGTGGAGCTCCCTACTCGGGTCACGGAGCGCGGGGGGGGGGTACCGAAAATTGTTTGGGGACGCATGTGAATCTGGCCGCAGTGGCTTTCGGTGGCGCTCCTGATTGGGTCACGAAGCGTGTAAAGGATGCACCGACATCGACATGGGCCTGAGGACGCTCGTGAACCATGCCGATCGGGCCTTCGATGGGTCCCCTTATTGGGCCACGAAGCGTGTGAGGGGAGTAGCGACATGAGCCCGGGGACGCATGTGAACCCTGCCGTTGGGGCATTGGTTGGTTTTCACGATCGGGCTGCGACCCTTGTGAGGGTGTGCTGATGAAGTGGGCCAGGTGACTCTTGTCAGCTGCCGCTGGGGCCCCATTTTTCTCCCATCCTGCAGCAAGCTCGCGGCGCGCCCCGACCTGCCCCCGCGGCCAGCCGCAGGCACCGAACCGCTGGAGGCGGGCAAACGGCATCAGCCTCGACAGGCTGCCCGTCGCAAGCTCGCCAGGCGCATGCGGGCCAGAGGGCCCAGAAAGACGCGAGCCTCGCGCGCGGGCGCCCGCCCACCAAAGCGGAGGTCCGTTCTTCGGGCTCACGCCCTGCATGATTAGAGATTAGATTGGCCTTGCCCCCCGTCGTCCTGCGCGGCCATGGTCTTGGCTGGTGCGCGAGTCGCCCCGAGGCCGCGGCGCTTGCCCTAGTCCTCCCTGGAATACTGGCAGCGCCGCAGGCGCGCTCTGCAGACGTAGAACGCGCGCAGCTGGTGCCTCCTGTCACCCTTGGCGCCCAGCGGGCCTGACCCACTGGGGGGGGCGCCGCCGGTGCAAGAGGTCCCGCGCCTCGGCTCGGGGCGCTGGGCGTGCTCCGAGACGCGGTGGGCTCGCTCTCCACCGCCATCGCGCCCGCTCGCACCGGCCCCCATCGCCCTCGCCCGCGCCCGCGGGTGGCGCGCCCGCGCCAACGTCGCCCCCCAGGTCGCCGTGCTACTCCCCGGCCAGCCCCTCCTGCTCGAACGCTTTCGCCGCCGCCAGCGCCGCCGCCGCAGCGCCACCGCGCCGGAATGCCGACGTCGGCACCGCTGGCGCCCGCGTCGGGAGCGGAGGCCGTCGCCGCGCGCGGCCTCGCGAAGGGGTTGCAGGCGCCCCCCAACGTGGACCCCGCGCGCAGGCATCTGGGGCAGTGAATTGCCTGGGCGCCCCCGATACCGCCGTTCACCTTGACCGCCTCGCGCTCGGCGAGGGGGCGAGGGGGGGGCCTTGGGGCGGCGTCGGGGCGCTCCTTTTAGTTGTCGTTGAAGTCGATCCTAGAATCAACCGCCTCGCTGCCAGGCCATCGCAAGCTGGAAGACGTTGCCGTCCAAGGTGAACGGCCTCCTCTGCATGGCAAGCCTGGCATCAACAGGCGCCCGAAATTCCGTCGCCACGACCTTCGCGCGCCTGTCCTCCTCGCAGCTGCCGCGCCCCCGGCCGCGGAGAGATCTCGCCGTCGTCTAACGTCCACTGGCGAACGGCGGAACCAACGTCATCCAGCTCGCCGAACCCGCCCAGCGAGTGCCCGATCCCTCTTCCAGACCTCCGCCGAAGCAGCCTCGTGAAAGGTCGTCAACTCAAGGCCTCTATCCAAGAGCCCCTTCACCGCGTAGTCCGCGTCGGAGCGCGCCGTGATCGGCGCCGCCGAGTGATTCGGGATCGCCGGCAGCGCGAGCAGCTCGGCGTCGTCGATGGATGTCGACGGCCTGGGGCGGCCTGGGCAGGGGAACCCCGAGCGCCATCGCGCAGGATCTGGGCCCTGAATCGCGGGCCTCGCCCCCGCGGGGCAGCTCTCCCGCCGCGCGCGCCGACGTCGCCAGCGTCTCGCGCCCGCGTCGTAGCAGCACACGCCTGCGACGAGCTCCGCAACCACGAAGGGCATGCCGTCGCCTGGCAGGCACGACAGCCAGTCGAGGACTTTGCCCTGGGGCGGCCTCCAGCTGCGCCCTGGCTCAGGGGCCAACGGCCTCTGGACCGACATGCGGATCGTGACGCCGGCCTGGAAGGGCTTCAGCTTGGCGATCTCGTCGGGGAGCTCGAAGCTCGGACAGCGCTCCAAGTGGCGGTGCCAGTGCGGGCCGATTTCGTGTTGGTGGAGTTCCCAGCAGGGGGCGGGCGTAAGCCGCAGGGCCGCCTCGTGTCTTCGCGCGTCCGGCCATGGCCCATGCGCGGACAGGGACCTGGCGCAGTCCATCTCCCTGACTCCACTTGCGCCCCTCGAGCGTGGACGCGTTCCCTCTAGTGATCCACCTGCGCAGGTGGCTTACGAAGGCTCTGGTCCCGATGTCCACGCGCGCGCCCTGAGCAATCTGCTTGAGCTGCCAGGCTATTGCGTCCAAGCGCATCGCCTGCTTGACGTACAAGGGCGAGGCTTTCGAGACTTCGAGCACGCCCCCGCCCTTCGGCGTGACCAACTTCTCGAAACTCTGGATGTCAGACCGGGTACTCATGAAGGAGAGCGCCGCCTCAGCCGCTGGCCCTCGCGCCTGATCCCATCGCGCGACATGCTCGGCAATCTTCTCGAGATGCGGATCCAGCGCTCCCAGGCAGTGCCAAGGTGGCGCCAAATATCGGGTCGAGCTCTGAGGGACCACCGACAACCAGGCAGCTCGTAGTAGACTTGCCTTGCGGCCTGTGCTTGGCCACCTTGCACACCAACCCGCGCGCCTGGCTGAGCTCGCCCCCGTTGAACTCCGCGCAAAAGACCCCGTGCATGATGCTGGGTCAAATGCCCGTGACCGCGACTCTCGCAACTGCATCGCGGCCCCGTCGGAACCCAAGAAGCCTTCAGATGTGGGGTAGACGGTAACCGTAGCTTCGCCATGTCGAACATCAGGTGCCGAACAGGATTAGCCGTGCGCCCACCCTCAGCGTGATCAATGCCGAAATTGCGCCCGTGGGACGCAGCCAACTCGCCATCGCTCGGACGTCCAGTCCCTGTGCATTGTTTGAGTTCGCGCGTGAATTTGTTTCGCAAGGTGCTGATCGATGGTTCTCGCCGAGGAAATCATCTCACACGCCCGAGCGACGCCACGCTGACAAGACCCCCGCTCCTTTGACCAGCTTAGCCTGGATGCCGTTGCGCAGCTTCGCGGAGCTGGATAGCGCACTGGACATGTCCAGCGCCACCCTGAGGTTGACCTCCCCGAGCTCCTTCACAAGCGCGTTGGCGCTGGGCACTATGTCCTCCTTCAGGCGGTTCTATCCTCCCCAGCGCTGCAGCACCAGATCGTCCAAGACGACAGCCGCCACCACTCGAGCGTGCTGCGCAACTAACGCGTCCAACGGGTTGAACAGCATCACCTTTATGACATTAGTCGCGAACGCATCGCGCCGCCAACACCGTGTGCAAGATGACCATCTCGTCTGAGCAGCACCCCCCCAAGCAGATCACGCGGGGTAACCTGTAGAGGCTCACCTGCAGCTTGGTCAACCCGAGGGGGAATTTGTTCTGTTCGCAGGCTTTGACGAGCTGGCCTTCGAGGATCTGCTCAAAGGCTGCCCATGGGGCTGTCTGTGGGGCTCCCTCGGGGGCCTCCGCGGATATCCTTGAGCGAAAGCCGCTGGACCGCGGCGACCCGTGCCTCGAAGTCCTCTCGCCGCCACGCTGCGGCACGCCAAGCTCAGCACCTGGAGGCGCAACGGCGGGAGGCTGCCCACGCGGACCAAGCCCGCGGGTGTCCGATGGAACCCCCTTGTGTCGTTAAAGGCTTAAAGACTTCTGCCGTCCTTCGACTCGCGCTGGAGCGGCCGCGAGCTGCTCCAACTTTCCCTGGAGATCTCTGGATTTACCTGGATTTACCCGGATGTATCTCGATTTGTGTGGATTTACCTCCACTGATCTGCATTTACCTGGATCTATGTGGCTCCATTCCCACAAATCGATTGGCGAAAAGTCGACAAGCCCTTAGGGACAGTGCGCAACTTATTGGCGCGGAGCCCCATGGCTCCGACGGGTGCACATGGCGAGCGCGAGCGAACGTACTTCCAGCAAATGCGCGACAAAAACGTGCTGCTCCTCGGGGGAGCCAATGCGACTTCGACGATCATGATGCTGATGATGCTGATGACGATGAGGGAGGGGAGAAGGAAAGAATTACACCAGAGAGAAAACCCCATTCAACGGATGGTTCGATCGATAAGGAGATCGACCGGGACCCCGGGAACCCCGAACCCACCGAAATCGGCCTGGAACCTAACCAGGAGCCCGAGAACCCGAAACCGGGAACCCGGGAACCCAGCCGGCCACCAAAATCGGCGGGACACTTTCGCCAAATCTTCCCATTTCCGCCAGGACCCCTTCAGTGCAAGCACTGACTGGGGAATTAAGGAAGGAGGAAGGACGCGGGCCGATGCGCATTCAAAAGAAGACCCACAACCACAGGATTGCTGCGACGAGTTGAACTAAGGAACGCATTGGCGTGATCTCAGCCCCGTCTCCTACAGTTAAAGCGGGCCTGTCCCCCTACAGGCGGATTTTGGGCGAAACATATAAGATTATAAAAAAATCGCCGGCCCAACGGGCCAGAGGCGTGCTAAGATCTCTGGTAACATCTATACAATATTTCTACTTCGCGCGCGCGGGGCGGCCCCTGGGGGTCCCCGGACCAAAAGTACCCCGGGCGCGGCCCAGGCGCGGCCCGGCAGACTCCCCCAGGGCTCTCAGGATCGCCCCAAGAGGGCCCCAAGAGGCACCCAACACGCTCCAAGAGAGGCCCGAGACGCCCGAAGATCGCTCCACGACGCCCAAGCTGGCATCCAGACGGCCCAAGAGGCCTCCAAATTGGCCTGAGAGCCTTAGAGGCCTCCAAGATGCCCCAAGAGGCCTTCAGGAGCACTCCCAAGAGAACCCACAGAAGCAAAATTCATTGCTTTCCCGCAGGTTTTGGATAGATTTGGGCGTTTCCACCTTTTCGGCTTCCCGACGCCCCTGGACGGCTCAAGAGGCCGCCAAGATCGCCCCAAGAGGGCTCAAGAGGCCCCCAAGAGGGCCCCAAGACGGCCAAAGACGGCCCAAGACGGCTCCAAGACGGCCCAAGAAGCCCCCAAGACGGCCCAAGAGGGCCCCAAGAATGCCTCAAGAGGGGCCCCAGAAAGAGAACACGAAACAAAATCTCGAACTCTCGGCCCTCAGAGGCCACCAGGAAGCCCCAGCAGGCCCCCAAGAGGCCCGTAAGAGGCCCCCAAGACGCCTTCAGGAAGTCCCCAAGAGGCCCCCTAGAGGCCCCCAAGCGCCCTGAGGATGCACCCCACATGCCCCCCGAGCACTCAACCAGCCAGCGATCCTCCTCCTCCTCCTCCTCCTCCTCCTTCTCCTCCTCGTCCTCCCTCCTCCCTCTTCCATCCTCCCTCGTTTCTCCTCCCTCCTCCCTCCTCCCTCCCCCTCCCACCTACTCCCTCCTCCTCCTCCTCCTCCTCCTCCTCCTCCTCCTCCTCCTCTTCCCCTGCTCCTCCTCCTTACTTCCCCTCCCTCCCCCTCCCTCCTCCTCCTCCTCCACCTCCTCCTCCTCCTCATCCCCTCCAACTTCACTTCGACACAATACACACTCTGCGTTTGAAAGGATGCAGGGGTCCCAGAGAGGGAACACGTTTAAAACATGTCGAGCCTCCAGCCTTAAGAGGCCCCCAGGAGGCCCCAATAGGCCCCCCAGAGGCCCCCTAGAAACGCCTGCCAAGAAAACCCCACCAACGCCGCATTGACAACGATCCCTCGGGCAAACAGCAGAGATGAGGCTACATGGGCCAGCGGAATGAGCGAAACGATTGAATATTCAGACATAGTCAAAATGGTACAAACATCGTCCCCAAACTATCTTTGACAATTTCTGAATTTTCCTCCCGTAGAGGGACAGGCCCGACTTAAGACTGCTGGGACGAATCGAATGAAGGAACGCATTGGCGTGCTCTCAGCCCTGTCCACTACAGCCGACCCCCTGTTCCTCGACCCGCCTGTTCACCTCTGCTGTGATTAGGGTGCCTTGCTGGGGTTCGTACCGCGCGCGAGTGCTCTGGCAGCCCGCGGCGTCCTCTCCAGTGCTGCACTCCCAGACCTCCTCGCGTCTTGGAAAAATCACGACGGGAAATTTTGCACTATTTTCGGCTCGGCCTCCGGGAAACCTTCCCAGGCCTCGGGACCGTCAAACAACGACTCAGGATGAAAAACCGGTCCCGCGGAAAGGGTCCAGACCTCTGGGGGTCGACGCAATGAAACAATCATGATGCCAAGGGTCTGGGTTTACTGGGCGCAAACGCGCAAGCAGCCCACGGCTTGCGCTCCAGCATCGGATTCTGTCGAGCGCAGACGCTCCAGCAGCCCACTGCGCACGCCTCACCACTGCATCTGATACCGAGCGCGGGCGTTAAGACATTGTGCTTGACCGTCGCAGACGAAACCACCCAGTCACAAATTTCACAATAGTCCACTGGCTCTAGGGGTCACCACCACAATTAGAAGGACAACCTAGATGCGGACCTACTTGGGAGGCCTGGGATTAGAAATGCGCCGCAAGCCTCCCGTCGTGAGTTTTCTGATAACGCGAGGGCCCTGATATCCGGCGGCGCGGAAAAAAAAAAACATCGCAACGAATCACGACCAGAGCCCTGAACCCCATCTGTTTGCCGCCGTTTTCGAGCTGGATCGATCCGCGAGGGCCCCGCGGGCCCGAAACAATGCGAAAAATCCCGCCTCGGCAAAATTGCCGACGCCAGGATCTCATGGGAAACAGGGCCGCTTACACGCAAGAGCAGCCTTGGGCAAACATGACTTTTGGTAGGCGTTTTTCGGGGGGGGGGGGGGGCACGGGGGGGGGGGGGACAAACCCAATTCCGTTTCTCGGGGGGGCACGGGCGTTTCCAGAATCGCTTTCCACGATTCCGGAAAGGCACTGTGCCCGCACTACAGGCTACTCTGGCGAAGGGCCACTTGCACTCCGACGGGGTTGGGCAGGGACCGACCGCGCCAGCATTCCGATGGGTCCGTTCCGATGGGTCTACCACGAAATCGCCTTAGAACGCAAAAGTGCCCAAATACCTAAAGCAATGCTCTTTGATTATCGGTATGATTGGTTTAAACCAATGTATTTCAGATTTAAGCCATGAGACCGATTTATTCAAGTACGATTGATGAAGACCAGCAGAAATTGAAAACTGTTTCGTGCACATCACAAGAAGTGTGTCGAACATCTCTGGGGTGAGCGAATCAGAACGTTTCGCCACTGCTTGGCGAGGGGAGGGGGCTCCTCCCACCCGGCGCGCCGCGCCACCGCCCTCGGAAGCCGCCTTGCGCCGCCCTGGGGATGCGCCGGTGACCGGCGCCCCGGGGCAGCGCAGAGCCATGCGGCCGGCGCCCTCAGCGCCAGGCCGGCGCACAGCAGCAAACCGCAGGCCGTGGGCACCCCGGCCGCAGGCCGGGCCGCCGCGCGCGGCATACGGCTGTCCGTTGGGCGTTGCTTAATGTTAGCGGCGAGGACAAAAAGGGTAGAGGGAGGGGGGAAGGCTTCACAGAAGATTGTTTCTTAGAAGGCGCCGACCCTACATCTACAAAGGATCCCTGCACCTTTTAAGAAGCAGGGGTGCTTCTAAGAAGCCTTCTCCCGTCCCCCCAGCCCCCTCTGTGAAAGGCTGATATTGCAAAGGGGTGAGAACAAAAACGTACACGTTTCGTGCCCCGTATTGTGTGGGCCCCAGAGGGCCCCATTTGGACACCTATACACCGCACAAGGGGCGCACGTTTCTTCACCACCCATCCATTATGCAACGTCCGAGCCCGCACCCCCCGGCGCCGCCGCCGGCGCGCGCTGGGCGGGCGGCGGCGGGCCCCGCCGCCACGCACCCGGCCCGTGAGATCCGGGCGCCACCTTTTTCTCACAACGCACTCGCTCGGTTCCGGGCCCCAAAGCCATCACAGATCGAAGCGGCTCGACACATGGCCCAGAAAAGTGGGGTCCAGGACTCTGGTAGTGATGTTCTGCGATGTCGCAATTTGTTGGCAACGTCCGATCTAGGTGTCCCCTACGCGCTGTTCCGCAAGTCCTCCCCCTCCCCTTTCGTTGCCCTCCGCCTCCTTGCGCCCTTCCCCACCGGATACGTATCCTCCCCACCCATTTCTGCCAGCCTCCTCCTCCTCCTCCTCCTCCTCCTCCTCCTCCTCCTCTTCCTCCTCCTCCTCATCACCATCATCATCCTCTGCCTCCTCCCCTTTTTCCTCCTCCTCCTCCTCCTCCTCCTCCTCCTCCTTCCCTTCCTCCGCCTCATCATCCTCATCCCTTCCTCGGTCTCCTCCTCCTCCTCCTCCTCTTCCTCCTCCTTCCCTTCCTCCGCCTCATCATCCTCATCCGCCTCCTCCGTCCCTCTCTCCTTTGCTTGTTGTATATCGGTTTCTCTATCACTCTCTCTCCTTCTCTTTCTCGCAAAGCTCCACAAGGATCCCTTTGCGGAGCCGCGCCACGCCGCGCGCGCGAACGAACGCGCGTGGGCGCTACCTCGGCAACCTCGGACGCTGCCGAAGTGTAGGAGGAGGAAGAGGAGGACGGAACGGGAGGAGGACGCTGCCGTAGTTTTCATCTGTCGAGGAGGAGGGGGAGGAGACGAGAGGCCACCTTACCATCCGATTCGCCCGAGGCCACTCGGATTGGGGTGAGTGAGATAAGGCTCTTTCATCGTACCTACAGCGCCCAAGCGAAGGTGTTGGTAGTAACGCTGTGTTTGTATACCCTTGTCCGTAACACTGTAGTTCGCAAGCTTCTCTGGCTTCAGGCAGGTCGGTCTCCCTTGTGTTCTATCGAAGGCCGGCTCGGCGCCTGGCTGCCCTCCGGCGTCTGCCAATTCGCACATGTTTTGGCACACCATGTCGATGATAATCAGTTGCTGGTGGTTTGCCTTGCGAGCCGCACGCTGGAATGTAAGCCAGAGCGCCTGTTTGGTCAGAAGACCAACGGGCTCCATTCAGGTTGCCCTGGCCCGGGTGTACTCCGACCCTGCTTTGAATACCAAGAGGCCTGCTGACCCATCACAGGGCCCGAGTTGACCTTTCCGCCCGATCAGTAGCGGGCGCGCTTTTGTGCCGACGAGGCGCACGGCCACGACAGGGGCGAGAGCCACGCCCCGCGCCTCCTGGTGGTCGTCGCAGCTCAGCTGGAGGTCCTCGTGGCCCTTTTTGTGGCCCTCGAAGCCGAGCTCGTGGGCCCCGTATTTCAGCTGGTGGCCCTCGTAGGTCTGTTGGAAGCTCTGGTAGCTTAGAAGGTGGCCCAGGTAGCTCTGCCAGTGGCTTCCATAGCTCAGGTTGTGGTCCTCGTAGCACTACTCGCGGTCCTCGTAGTTCAGCCTCTGGTCGTCGTAAATTAACGGGCTGCCCTTGTAGCTTTGCTGGTGGCTCGTGTAGTTCAGCATGTCGTCCTCGTGGTTCAGACCACGGTCGTCGTTGCTCAGCTGGTGGCCCTCGGTTGTGGTTTTGTAGCTCAGCAGGCAGCCTTGGTGCCTCTCCTTGGTACCTCCTCTGGCTCAGGTGGAGATCCTCATAGCCGTGCTTGTGGACCTTGTAGCGGTGCTTGTGGTCTTCGTAGTTCAGCTGGTGGCCCTCGTTGGCCTGCTGGAAAGCCGCCGCGATAGCTCAAATAGCCCTGGTTGCGCTACTGGTGGCTCTTGTTGCTCAGATTGCGGTCATCGTTAATCTGCTTGTTGCCCTCGTAGTTGAGCCTCTGGTCCTCGTAGCTCAGCCGGTGGCCCTCGTAACTTTGTTGGTTGATGTTGTAGCTCAGGTGGTCCTGGTACCTCTCCTGGTGTCTCTCGTGGCTCAACTGGGTGTCTCCGTAGCCATGCTTGCGGTCTTCGTAACTGTGTTTGTGGTCCTCGCAGTTCGGCTAGTGACCCTCGTAGGCCTGCTAGAAGTCCGAGTAGCTCAGAACGTGGCCGCGCTAGCTGTGCTGGCGGCTCTTGTAGCTCAGCTTGTTGTCCTCGCAGCCCTGCTCGTGGCCCGCGTAGTTCAGCCTGTGGTCCTCTTAGCTCAGCCGGTGGACATCCTAGCTCTTTTGGCGACTCTTTTAGCTCAGCAGGCGGCCCTGTGGCGGGCTCGTTGTGTAATCGCGGGTAAGTCGCGGGTCGGGGGTCGCGGGTGGGTCGCGGGTCGGGGGTCGGTCCCGTGGGTCGCGGTTGGGTCGCGGGTCGGGGGTCGGTCGTGGGGCGGGCAGGACGACGACAACAAGGCAACAAGGCAACAACAAAAATCCTCGCTGCGGGATCCCACTTTATCCCCACAGCCAAGTACGGTGTAATACTGCTCGCCCCTGTCACTCTCGTGTCGGGACGGGGTCCATAACTCTCAGCATCGTCATCGCGCCTGGCATTTCGCCCAGCGTCGACTCGAGATGGTCTGGAAGGCAGTCCCGACACGTGCCTCTGAGGGCAAAGGCAGCCTAGATGCTCGGTGCGCTGGACTATGGGCGACGTGGGATGGGGCAGGGACAGCACATCGGCAACAGCTGGTCGCAGCCGCGCCTGTGAGTCGACAGCGGAGCTGGCGAGATGCAGAAAGCCAGCCGACGCGCCCAAGCGATCCGAACTGTTGGGGAACGGAGGTATGTCAAGCATCCTACCGAGCCTTGCTCGAAATTCGACAGAGACAGACAGGGCTTTGCCATCCCCATCTCCCAATGTTCCTAGCACTCCTCCTCCCCTTCCTCCGTCAGGCAATCTCCTCTTCCTCTTGCACCCCCTCCTCCTCCCTCCTCCTTCACCTTCCACTTAAACCTTTCTCGTCAACCTCCTCTTCCCCCTCCTCCCCCTCCTCCCCATCAACCGCCCCCTCCTCCCTCTAGAACCTAGAACACTCGAGGCTCCCTTGACTGCGGCACCGAGCATACAGGCGTTGGTCAAGCCGTGGCCTGTAAGGAGCACCCGAACAACTCGAGGTAGGAAGGAAGATGTGTGGCGGATTTGTGGCAACGTGTACGCCAGGCGCTCCACAGCAGAGGCCATGGCACAGTCACCCTGGAATGGATGCCCTCACATGCAAAGGAAAATCTAGACAGAGAGCGCACGAGCAGGGATTTCTTCCGGCTGCAAGAAACATGATTGCTGACGATGGCGCCGGGGAGGGCGGCGGAGGTTGCGTGGGAGGAGGCCTGCAGCCAGAGCCGACCAAGCGAACTCCTGGGACGCGTCGGCTGCCTTCATCAGAGCCAGGGCACCGTGTGCCTTGGAGCTGTCGTTGGAGGCGGATAGCGAGCGAGCGGAGAGGGAGCAACGTGAGAGAATGCCCCCAAATCTCGGCTTAGCCTCCTGCTTGACTGGCCTGTCCATTCCCGCTTGCGATCTGGCAATGGGTGGAGATGTAGTGTGTGTGTGTTGTGCGTTGTGTGTGCGTGTTGTGTGTGTGTTGTGTGCGTGTGTGTGCGTGTGTGTGTGTGTTGTGTCTGTGTTGTGTGTTGTGTGTATGTGTGCGCGTGTGTATGCGTTCAGCTTGTGCGTCGTGGGTGCCTGGACAGCTTCCGTAGGACGGCGCGCAGGCCTCTTGAGATTCCCTTGGATGCTCGGGGCCCTGTGAGACCCCCGAAGGCAGGGTGAGGCGCCCCGAACCTGCGGTGCGCCTGTCTCACGTGATGGGTTGTTCGCCTGAGTACCTGCTCCATTTCTGCACGTGCTGTGGTCGTTTTTGCACGGTGAATTTCAGACACTTTACCACGTGGCCCACTGGCAATAATTAGGAAAGGCAGGAGAACTTGTCAACAATTACGAAAAGCCTCTACCCAAGAATGGAGGGGCCTCCGAATCGGTGCTGGCGGCCCTGCATCAGGCGGAGTCTGGTGAGGCGGTCGCATCTGAGAGCATGAGACGTCCACCCAGAGACAGTGGGGATTCCTTGGGGACTGCTGAAGAGCAGCTGGGTGGGCAATGTGAAACCGCGGACTCTGCAGAAGCGGGCACGGCGGAGTGGCTTTTTGATAGAAGAGCGCCAGCCAGGTCGACTCCTGAGGCTTGAGCTGGCGTGGCGGCCTGCGGGTTGTGCTGTCCGTTAGCTTCGGCTCGCGGCAGGGTCGCTCGTGTGGCTGAACCTCGCGGTCGGCTTGATTTAGAAACCTTCCCTGAGAATTCTCTTCCCCACCTCCCTCCTCTCCTCCTCCTCCTCCTCCTCCTCCTCCCTCTCCCTCTCCTCCTCCTCCCTCCTCCTCCTCCTCCTCCTCCTCCTCCTCCTCCTCCTCCTCCTCCTCCTCCTCCTCCTCCTCCTCCTCCTCCTCCTCCTCCTCCTCCTCCTCCTCCACCTCCTCCTCCTCCTCCTCCTCCTCCTCCTCCTCCTCCTCCTCCTCCTCCTCCTCCTCCTCCTCCTCCTCCTCCTCCTCCTCCTCCTCCTCCTCCTCCTCCTCCTCCTCCTCCTCCTCCTCCTCCTCCTCCTCCTCCTCCTCCTCCTCCTCCTCCTCCTCCTCCTCCTCCTCCTCCTCCTCCTCCTCCTCCTCCTCCTCCTCCTCCTCCTCCTCCTCCTCCTCCTCCTCCTCCTCCTCCTCTCGAACTTATTATATTCCTGCTTGTACGACTCCCGTC